TCCTAATGTTGGAATCCGATGGAAGGTTATGCAAAGATTGTGTTTTTCCACAGCTTGGCACTGCACAGCATCTTGTCTTTGGAGCATCTTTATCATTTGGTTACTGCTTAGACCTGAGTTTGCCTCTCTTATTTACACGCGTGAATCAGTTGGCAGAGCTAAACAGGCAGTGATGTAAAAGCAGGCATTGATCTTCTGCGGAGGGGGGGTTTAGCAACACTATTATGTCATAAAGTGGTACATTCCGCAACCTGTTGATTTGGCAGATTTTCTTCAATATAAGCTGTTTTTAGACTAATGAGAAAGTTTTGAGTTCTGAAACTTACAGGATCTTTTTATAGTACAATGACCTCTTATATGGTCAACAGATCAAGGGAATTTTGATTGCTCAGTTTATGACCCCTTTAAGCAAAACAAGAATCTTTCTGCAGTAGAACTAACATTTATGTAAACTGATAAAAAGTTGTTTTAAAAATAATGTTTTGGTAAGCATTTTTCTGCAAGCGTCTGAAAAAACGAGCGAGTCTGATTTCGCTCCCCTTGTGACGTTGCAAAGGGATCTCATTATAATATTACCGCCCCTTAATCTGAAAGCACCCACGGCGCCGTCATTTTGATTTCGCAAGTGACAACGGTGTACCAGCTCTAATGCCATGGCGAAAGTTTGAGCAAAACATGCTAACTGTTCTGCCTTTGGCTCAGTGTTAATTTTGACAGCAAATTTTGATTTAGTTTTAGGCATAGTCTTTTGACTAAAATGCCATTTAGTTTGTCATATTTTAGTCATCTGAATTGTTTTTAGTTTTAGTCTAGTTTTAGTCGACTAAATCTACAGTAAATTTAGTCAGTTAAAATCTAATGGGTTTAGTTACAGTGCATTTATTAAGCATTTCTCTAAAATTTCCAAACTCCTTATATAGGTTTGATATTAAGGTTTTATCATGATAGACACGGTGACACACAACATGCCTTTGTTAAAATTAAATAAACCCACTTCTCATAAAGAACAAGAACATGGTCTTCGTTTTCATGAAATACCAATGGTTATATAGGCTAATTATGCATTCTTTATAGCAACTGGTTTACCATATTCTTCATTCTTTCAAGCAGACATATTTATTTCTATAAATAAATTTAGATTAATCTTTAGGGCTACTAAAGTTTTTCAGTCAAGAGCAGTGCATGATTTTCTGTCTTTCTGTTGTTGCTTGATTAACATCAATGACTCGGACAATAGGAACTAAATTAGGCTGCTGTCCCTTTAAAACCGAATGCACAGCTGCAATGGATGCAATGTACTGATACACGTTCTCCCTACGGTTTACGTTCACTTAAGACGTAATCAACTGTATTTACGCGAATACTCGTCAAAACGGACAATTCTCCATTCATGCGACGCGAAAGAGTACTCGCGCGCTGTGAGACGCACTTCTGTGCTCAGAAAACCGGACTGAATTGAGATTTCTCTTGCGTTGACAGATTTATACACGTCTGCTCTTCTCTTACTCCCCCATATTGACATTGTTATCGTCGGTGAAAATATGTTGACGAAAATTATTCGTCAACGAAATGAACACTGCTTTGGCTGCACTGAAAAGCACAGAACACTATTTAGAGTCACGGCCTCAGAGGAGACAAGAGAGCAGTGGATTTATTCATTTATTTACTGTATATTGCTGCTGCCACACAGATCTAAAATAAACATGCGATTTATTTCCCAGCTGTTTACCTTCACAGACATAACCGACGTAAACTTGTGTGAGAATGTGAACTTAGTTCAGTACTCACATGCTGTGACAGCCGCTTTCTGTCCGTGTGCTTCGGATGTGTGCACTCAGAAAACCGTATATCAGAAGTTTAAACTAATATAGTTTAAAACGCATTATTTCAGCACGATAAACATGATAATCAGAACCAAAACAGATGTTTTTTTGGCAGGTACGTGCTGTAATGGCGCAGCTCTATTCTGGAAAAGGGGGCGGGGAGCAGCAGCTCATTTGCATTTAA